CAAGCAAGGAAGCGGGAGGGGGGAGGAGGGGACGGGGGAGGAGAGGCAGAAGGGGGAACGGGGTGGGGAGTTGGGAGTTTCCATTTCTGGGGAGTAGGGGCTGACCCTGGAAGTCGGGCTGGCCGGAAGGAGGGGTAATGGGAAGTTGCAGGGAGATCTTTGTCCACACCTGACCACAACTACTCACACACACCTGCTCGTAAGTGGCCAATAACCTCCTCACACCTACCGGGAAACTTATTATATCTGCCCATACCTGTACTTGGATTCCTAAGCTTTAGTGAGCATTGGCTAAGGTTAACTCATCTATAAGACCCTAACCTAACCCACTATCTCATGACCTAAGCCTAACCTGGCCTGACCTAACGTGACCTGACCTGACCTGACCTGACCCGACCCGAGCCGTTCACATCCCAGGCGCCATCTTGCCTCCCTCCCAGCAGTGTCAATAAATAATTCAGTCATTGGGTAAAAAAATAATAACTATACTGATTAAAGTCATCAGGTAAACAATAATAAACAATAGTGTATTATATTACATTAAAATAAAAGCAAAAATAATAATCATTTACCTATCTCTCTTAGCAGCAGCCTTCATCCTCTTGCTCTTTCTTCCTAACTCTCTTCTCGCTTTCGTTAGTTGAGCCTTAAGTCTTACCAACACCTTCATGTTTTCGTGCATTAATGTGCAGTGCAGAAATATTTAAATTGTTTAATGTTATGACAGGAAAGAAATGCAATGTTCTTTATTTGAGTTTCTGCTCCTGTCAGCAAAACGTTTCTCCTTTTCTCTTAAGATTTTCTCTACATTTATAAAAATATTCATACAGTCATTAGTGCAGTAAACTTTCTTTATACTCTGTTAGTTGGGGAAGTTTTACAAAGGACCTGTGACTGCTTGTCCTCGACCGCCACCAGACAAGACGTGCAGTGAGTGTTAGGACTTTTTCACTATTTTTTTTTATGTAGGCTGCTCAACCCTGTTTGGTCAATTACCCTTTCTGTTGATATTTGCTCTATATCCAGTTCCCCTGCTTCGTTGACAGTGTTTGCTTCAACTCTTGGCTTATACAGGATATCAGCAACAAATTCACGATCGTCTACTAATTAACTCCTTGCATCTGAACATTTAAGAGCAATCGAGATCAATTTTAGAGCTTGTCGAAACTCTAAGGCAGTCGGCATTGGGGTTTTTATCCTTACTGAACTATACAAGTTTTCTTGGGTGAACCTTGACGAGAGCAAATACTTATGACCTCCGACTAAATAGTTCCTTTGCAGATCAAGTATTGAAGTCGGGGACAGTATCACGCCAGATTGAACTGGTCTCCACTGGCCCTTAACCCCAACAGATACTTCCTTGAACACCTATATTACTGTCTCAAGAGGAGTTATAACCAGTTTATAACACTCACCGAGTTTACTAAGTGCCAAGCTTGAGTGTCCGTTAGATATTGTTAGACATTATATTAAACCATTTGTTTATTAAATTAAAAAAAACATGCTGTTGTGAGTAAGTCTTTACTGTATCCTTCACACTCAACCAAATAATGAAATCCTGCCTAGACTGAGTGGGAGGCAGATCACAGGGTGGGGGATAATGGCAATATGGCGCCCTGCTGTCACCTGACCTGAACTGACCAATCACACCCGACCTGTTTGAGACCCTGGTTGGCCAAACTCTACACTGTACACTCTCCCCCCCTCCCTCTCCTCCTCTTCCCCCTTCCCTCTCCTCTCCCCTTTCCTTCACTCACACTCTGTCTCTCTCCCAGTGCCTCACTACCCACCACCATGATCCCTCCGCAGCCAAACAGTCTCCCCAACATCGCACCCCCCCCCCTCTTCCTCTACTCTCAAAATTGGCACACTCGGCACTACAGCTATCACAGGTGAACAGTACCGCTTCTTAATGACTTTTCAGGCACCTGTGGCACCCGTCCTGGCACTCGGCACTATGACTCTCTTAAATGAACTGTGTCACTCCTTTACGGCGTTACAGGCACTCTTGGCACTGTGCTTTATCATCTGGGACTATGGCTTTCATACCTGAACCGTGTCGACCCTCGTGGCACCCGCCCTGGCACTCAAATAACTTAGAACAACAGCTTCAGCCACTAAAGCACTCGCCAGATCTGAAAATGTTCTAAAATTCCACTCACGTTCTCGCTCTTTTAAAGACTCGTTGATAGCACAAAACACGTCTCCCTTAACGAGTTCGTTCACTAAGCTGTTCGCCGAAGCCTCCCTAAACAAGCACTGGAGACCGAGGGACACTTGTCAAGGTGAGGAGCTGGAGGAGACGGGGGGTGGTGGTAGGTGTGGGGGGAGAGGTGGGTGGTGGTAGGTGGGGGAGGGGGGGAGGGGGTGGCGTGGGGGGGAGGGGGGTGGCGGTAGGTGTGGGGAGTGGGGGTGGCGGTAGGTGTGGGGAGGGGCGGTAGGTGTGGGGAGGTGGCGGTAGGTGGGGGAGGGGGTGGCGGTAGGTGTGGTGGGAGGGGTGTAGGTAGGTGGGTGGCAGGTGGGGGAGGGGGGTGGCGGTAGGTGTGGGGAGGGGTGGCGGTAGTGGGGGGAGGGGTGGCGGTAGGTGGGGAGGGGGTGGCGGTAGTGGGGAGGGGGTGGTAGGTGGGGAGGGGGTGGCGGTAGGTGTGGGGAGGTGGTGGTAGGTGTGGGGGAGGGGGTGGTAGGTGGGAGGGGTGGTGGGGTGTGTGGGAGGGTGGGGGAGGGGAGGCAGGTAGGTGTGGGGAGGGGGTGGTGGTGGTAGGTGTGGGGGAGGGGGGTGGTGGTAGGTGTGGGGGGAGAGGTAGGGTGATAGACGTGTGGGGGGGGACAGGATTCCCACATAGTACCACGCCACAGAATATTAACACCCACTAAGCATCAGGTACACGTATCACCGGCACCAACCAGAAAAAACCAACTACCATCACAGCCAACCAAAACAACAACGTCTACCACAAAAACCAATTACCATACACCTCGGTCCTTCAGACTCCACACTTGGCACCAGCACCACATCTGACACTAGCACCTCACCTAATACCGGCACCACCACCATTACTAATGACCCCTTAACCATTACCCTTGCATATCTTTTAACCTGAAGGCGTTACACTCAACCCCGTATATCAAAACACCATCCACACTATCACAATCGTCTATTAACACCTAACTCTCACCTCAAAGACAACACCAAACACGTCCACGTATAATCAATAAACTATCGCCTGGGAAGATCTCGGACGCATAATGTGTACCCTGCTGCCATATGGCATCACAAAAATTGTGACCAACTCCCAGGTTGCTGATCTGACTTTCTGCCTCCTTTACACACACCTGCAGTCTCAATTGTTTCTCTTACTGTGTCAACACACCATACATACTGTATATCGTCTCACTGGATTTATTTTTAGTTTTTGTATTTATGGTTATCACTATTATTGTTTATTATTTTATTTATATTTTTTATTATAACATTTTTATTAATGTTATTATTTTTTATATTATTATTATAGCCCGGGTGGGCTAATCAGCGAATAAAACAAAATAAAATAAATAAATTAATTAATATAAGCCTTGAACAACAAAACTCAATTCGTAAATGTCCCCCACACAACACCTGACATTCAACACCATTCAAATAATTAAACACTATAAACAAAACAAAAGAACATCATCCCAAAGACGTTCAAACACCATCATCAAACCAGAAGTTATAATCATTAATCCTCACCCCCCCCCTCAACAAAAAAAAAAAAAAAATACTAATTAACACACGATTCTCCTCTCAAGAACGTGTCAGCACTCCTGTCCCAATTATTCAAATGACTGTAACAGGTAAGAGGAAGTCAACGTGTACAGGGTCGTAAAAAAAAATAAAAATATGCACGGGATTTATTATATAGTAAACGGTAAATACCTCCAACACTAAATACCTCCAACACAAGAATGTACACAGTGACTCAAAGAAGGGAGCTATTAAACACACACAGAAATAAATAAAAGTACATCAGAAATAGGGACAAGGAAGTGATTTTTACAGGTAGAGAATGTGGACCGGACCGGGAGAAGACGCAGGTGTTTCTACGACCTTGAGAACACCTTGTGAAAAAGAGTCGGGATTAATTAATTTCTCTCTAAAATAATAATAATAATAATAATAATAATAATAATAATAATAATAATAATACAAATGATGATGATGATAATAATAATAATAATAAAATACAAATAATAATAATAACAACAATAATAATAATAAATACTACTACTAACAATAACAACCACTTCGGAAACGAGTATATCAGAACACAATTATCTGCCGCCCAAAAGTGACCCCAGTGTACTAAGATGGTGGCCAAGATGTCGTCAAAACTGGACCAAGACTCGATCCTTATTGTACACGTATTTTCACCCCCAAGCTAGGAGGTGCAGATACTATTGAGGAAATTGATTCAGAATTAGATTGTAACAAATATAGCGCAAGGAAAAAAAAAAGTCGTCCCGTTCTCATGGTAACAGAACGGTCAATGTCACAATAACAAAAGTAGCGTCACGTTGTCATGGTAACATCCCCCCCCCCGCTGTACCATGTTTGGGTATAAGATAATACACAAATAGCGTCTTCGGGTTGTCATGGTAACATCACTCCCTGCCAGAACAATTACCTGACGGATAATGAAGCTTACCTGCGCTCTATCTCTCTCTCTCTTTATTCACCCTCTTTCTCAAGCTATTCTCCCTCTTTCTTTCTTTCTTTTTCACACTTTATTTTCCCCGTCTCTCCATTCTTCCTCTTTATCTCTATTTTTTTCTCTCTCTATTCACCCTCATTCTCTATTCTCCTGCTTTCTCTCTCTTCTTCTTTCTCTTTATTCTTCGTTCTCTCTATTCTCCCTCTTTCTCTCTCGCCATTAACTAATTAAGGAAAACAAGTTATTTTTAGCCTAATCATTTTATATTAGTCACAGGCCCTAATACACAGCACAACACATTACATAGCACAATATAACACAGTACAGCACATTACATAGCGCGATATAACACACAGTAGAGCAAAGCACAGCACAGGAAGGTCATGGTGGCTGTAGTGGGAGACTGCGGGAAGATGTCGGTAGGGGAGGCGGTTGTGGTCAGTCGGTTCTCACACCCAAGAGAGGCGGAGATGGTGGATAGCTGCGTACTACGATACAACACTTAAACAGAGAGGAAATATGGGATGGTTATTATATATAGGACTCGCCGTACTAATGTATAATACCAAGACATTTATAACATTACTCATTCTCAATAAGGGATGGATGAATTAGGACTTTTATTAACGGTTACTATATTTATTGAATACTTTATATTAGGGTTTAACAGATTCACTTCAAAATAATAAACCTATGTTCCTAGCTAGTTATACGGGAACCACGTATCTCACAGAAAAATGGGAACTTAAGGATTTACCGAATAGAATACACCCAAATACCTGCCATGTCGCCACCGCTCTACACAAAATCCCAACACAGACTGACTTTTTCAAACTGGGGTTATTGGGTGGCACAGAGGGACAGCTTCATGACGTCATGCCTCATACGCCTCCTCATTGGTTGAAGACAGGCCTAAGGCCTTCATACTATTGGCCCGAAATTGGCGGGAACTCAGGTGGCGGGAAACTCGTGACATTGTAACACCACTATAACACAACACAACACTCCACTCCACTCTTCAAAAAAAAAAAAAAAAAATTACAAGTTTTCCTACAATACCTGTAGATTTTTCTCCTAACTAATAGGCATCTCACTGATTCACTTATCCTTCAACGATTAGATTGTAAACAAATTCCTACGTTAAATTATCCTCGTAACTGGTGATGTAAGATCGCGTCTCACTTAATCTATGACACAATGATGGATTATCAAAGGTTCCTACGTTAAATTTGTTCTCGTAAGTTATTTAAGATCGTATTTAACCGAGTCACTTAACAAACGATTTAAAAAAATTAGATTATAAATGGTTCTTACGTTAAATTTTCCTCGTAACTGAAGACACGTCAGGTCTTCACTTCGCACAACATATAACTTGTAACAGAAAAAATAACACCCAGAAAAACAGTTACATCGTGATGTGAATGGCGTCGTGCTGTGAATGGCGTCGTGCTGTGAATGGCGTCGTGCTGTGAATGGCGTCGTGCTGTGAATGGCGTCGTGCTGTGAATGGCGTCGTGCTGTGAATGGCGTCGTGCTGTGAATGGCGTCGTGCTGTGAACGGCGTCGTGCTGTGAACGGCGTCGTGCTGTGACGAACGGCGTCGTGCTGTGAACGGCGTCGTGCTGTGAACGGCGTCGTGCTGAACGGCGTCGTGCTGTGAACGGCGTCGTGCTGTGAACGGCGTCGTGCTGTGAACGGCGTCGTGCTGTGAACGGCGTGCTGTGTGCTGTGAACGGCGTCGTGCTGTGAACGGCGTCGTGCTGTGAACGGCGTCGTGCTGTGAACGGCGTCGTGCTGTGAACGGCGTCGTGCTGTGAACGGCGTCGTGCTGTGAACAGGCGTCGTGATGTGAATGGCGTCGTGCTGTGAATGGCGTCGTGCTGTGAATGGCGTCGTGCTGTGAATGGCGTCGTGCTGTGAATGGCGTCGTGCTGTGAATGGCGTCGTGCTGTGAATGGCGTCGTGCTGTGAATGGCGTCGTGCTGTGAATGGCGTCGTGCTGTGAATGGCGTCGTGCTGTGAACGGCATCAGGGTGATCAATTTTACGGTGGAATAAACTGAAGGGGGAGGGAGGCTAATCTTCATGTGTGATCTCTTAACACTACCAGAGGGGTTAAGGTACAGTCCTGCGGTACACATCAAATCTGTCACCTACACACATAATTGGATCCCTGGGCGACCTGTGTGTGTGTGTGTGTGTGTGTGTGTGTGTGTAAAGAGGGTGAAGGAGAAGGGCGGCGGCTCTCTGTAGCTATTGGGTTTGGTGAGAAGCTAAGAGAAAAAAGTGAAAAGGGGAAAAGAGAGAGACAAGGACAGCAACAGTACCTGGCCTTGTATATATAATCCAGGTGTCCAGAGTATTTACAATAACACAGACCCACTGACAGGTTAAGTCACGCGTACTTACACAGATCAGCTGATACAAGTTGAAGCTTATTACAAGGCCGCCATAACCTGGATTACAGGTCGAAAGATCAGTAGGAGGAGGTCATACGATCACGAGGGGTGGAGTGTGTGAGGGGGGAGTGATTGTTTTTATGGTTTATTATTATTATTATTATTATTATTATTATTATTATTATTATTATTATTATTATTATTATTATTACTGTTGTTATTATTGTTAATATTGTGTGTGTGTGTGTGTGTGTGTGTTTCCATTGTGTTAAAGTAAGAGAAACAATTGAGACCCTGCAATTGTGTGTTAAATGAGGCAGAAAGTCAGATCAGCAACCTGGAAATTGGTCATAATATTCGTGATGCCATATGGCAGCAGGGTCTACCATTAGACAACACATTATGCTTCCAATATCTTCCCAGGCAGTAGTACCTCCCTGTTTGATAGCGCCTACTACACATGAAATACACACCTAAGTTTATTTCACCTTCAGGTTAACCACCCCAATGATAACCTAACCTAACTTATTCTAACTTAATACCCCCTCAGGTAGCCAAAGGGCATCTAATCATCAGGTGAAAATATCTAAGGTGTCTCACTCCACGGACGTCCAAATCCTGACTTCAAAAAGCAGCGACCAACGATACTTAATACTTGACTCAAAAGGTACGCACACACGCACATAACTCTTTAAATACCTATCTACCTATGACACACACACAGACGACACATTTAAAGCTGAATAAAACCTCCCGTTTCCCGTTAAGAGATACGTCCCACGATAACAAGGCCGATAACAGATATAACAAAGTCATAACACTCGCGATATCACCATTTACGATAACAGATGTCAATGCTCCATGAAGAATATTAAGAATATTTACTCAGTGATTCGTAATATTGATCAGTGATTCATAATATTGATCAGTGATTCATAATATTGATCAGTGAATCATAATATTGATCAGTGATTCATAATATTGATCAGTGATTCATGATTAATAATTCATAATATTGATCAGCAATTCATAATATTGATCAGTGACTCGTAATACTGATCAAAGGTTCATAAAGTTCAGTGATTCATAATGTTGATCAGTGATTCATAATATTGATCAGTGACTCGTAATACTGATCAGAGATTCATAATGTTCAGTGATTCATAATATTGATCGGTGATTCATGATCAGTGATTCGTAATATTGATCAGTGATTCGTAATATTGATAAGTGATTCATAATATTGATCAGTGATTCATAATGATCAGTGATTCATAATATTGATCAGTGACTCGTAATACTGATCAGAGATTCATAATGTTCAGTGATTCATAATATTGATCGGTGATTCATGATCAGTGATTCGTAATATTGATCAGTGATTCGTAATATTGATAAGTGATTCATAATATTGATCAGTGATTCATAATGATCAGTGATTCATAATATTGATCAGTGATTCATAATGTTCAGTGATTCATAACAAGATTCACCAATGATTCATAACCCCAATAATAATCACCAATAAGTCAAGATAACACGAAAACTACCACGACAACATAAAGATAAACAAGATAACACCTAAAAAAAAGATACCCGAAAGATAACGAGATGTAACTCCCCCCAAAGCACCCACATCTTAGGTTGTTATCTATTACACGTAAACTGCTTCGTGATAACACTTCAACATCAAGATAACAAGTCTAAGATAACCTAACAAGGCTTTTTCAGCTTCTGGGAGGATTTTTGAGAAAACAAGGTCAGTGTGGTCAAGTTGAGTGTGTGTGTGTGTGTGTGTGTGTGTGTGTGTGTGTGTGTGTGAGTGTGTGTGTGTGTGAGTGTGTGTGTGTGTGAGTGTGTGTGGTGTGTGAGTGTGTGTGAGTGAGTGTGTGTGAGAGTGTGAGAGTGAGTGTGTGTGTGTGTGAGTGTGAGAGAGTGTGTGTGTGTGTGTGTGTGTGTGTGTGTGTGTGTGTGAGAGAGTGTGTGAGAGTGTGTGTGTGTACCTCCCTTTATATTCAACAATAGGGTAACATTTCATTTTATCTTGCTACCACCATCGATATCTAAAACCACTATTGTTATTTACCACCACCATCGATTACCTACCACCACCATCGACACCTACCACCACCACCACACACCACCACACCTACACACCACCACATCCGGCAAGATAGAGTCAAGGGCACAATGTTCATCATCATAGGCCGGATATCGACGAGGAGTCAGTGAGTGAAAGTGAGTGGAGAGTGGGGGGAGAGGGGGAGAGAGAGAGGGGGGAGAGAGTGGGGGAGAGAGTGGGGGGAGAGAGGGGGAGAGAGTGGGGAGAGTGTGTGGGGGAGAGGTGGGGGGAGAGTGTGGGGAGGTGTGGGGGAGAGGTGGGGGGAGTGTGGGGGAGGTGTGGGGGAGAGTGTGGGGGAGAGTGTGGGGGAGAGGTGGGGGAGAGTGGAGAGGTGGGGGAGAGTGGGAGGGTGGGGGGAGGTGGGGGGAGAGGTGGGGGAGAGTGTGTGGGGAGGGTGGGGGAGAGGTGGGGGGGTGGGGGGAGAGTGTGGGGGAGAGTGGGGAGTGTGGGGGAGGGGGGAGTGTGGGGGGGAGAGTGTGTGGGGGAGAGAGTGGGGGGGAGAGAGGTGGGGGGGAGAGAGTGTGGGGGGGAGAGAGTGGGGGAGAGAGGTGGGGGGAGAGGTGGGAGAGAGAGTGTGGGGAGAGTGGGGGGAGAGAGAGGGGGGAGAGAGAGTGGGGAGAGAGAGAGTGTGGGGGAGAGGTGGGGAGAGGGGGAGAGTGAGTGTGAGGTGGAGGGAGGGGGAGAAAGAGTGCATGGGGAGAAAGAGTGCAGAATAGATTAAAAATGAGTAACACTGACTAGCAACGAACTTCTCCCCCCAGACTGACTCACCACCCTAATATATATACACAGGTGACTCAGCACTCCCCCTATATATATACACAATCATCTATAGTTGCCAGGGTGACGCCATTAACGCTATATACAGCTTCCTGATTACTACCCCCAGCCACTACCACGACAAGTATTACACGGCTCCCCAGGATTATCCACACACCTCCTCCTTCCTCAGGCCATGGTTTACTGTTCACTATAAACCCC